TCTAAGGCTGGGAGGTTGAGATCTGATGAGAAGAGTGGAGAGTTGCCAAGGGCTTGGGATGGTTGAGGTATTAGGACTGTCAGGTGGAACATTGAGGGCTGGGACTCTTGGTGGGAGTAGATGATGGGACTTGGATAGTATGTTGCAGTATGATGCTGGGTCTTAAGTCTGATCTACTGTGGGTGGGGGAAAAGCTATTGGAGATAAGATGTAGAGTGCAGAGATGGTGCTTGAATCTCTGGGAAAGGATTCTAGGACTAGAATGAGGAATATCCTGGTAAACTCAGATTAGGGTCTGGGTGTAGAGGGTTTGGGGGCAGCAAGTCATCTGGGGTTTGTTGCAGGGTAAACTTAAAGGTTGGCAGGAGTTGCTATACAGATGGAGGAATGTGGAAAACATTTAACCCATTGGCTGACTTTGGGTAGGAGTATGCCCTCTCTTTTTTGTTAACTCAGTGTGACCATAGAAGCCTCAGAGCAAGGGTCTTCTAGCAAGGTAGTTAGAAGGCCTTCTCTGTTGCTGTAAACTTTGACCTTGTGCAATCAAGCATCGTCTAGTGAATTCCACGTCCATGTAGCACCCTCTACAGACAAAAACAAGTTGCTTTCCAGAGAGGGTTTTTGTGCAAAATCAAATGTCTTTATGTTCATTTTCCGCATACCATTCAGTACAGAGAATTTTTCCGGGTTGTCACAAAATTTGCATCCACACAAAAACAATGATGCAGGCAGTATTTGGCTTGAGCAACTTTAATTATCAGTTAAAAATATGAATTCACTAACTACAATGAAATCAATCAGCTTTCAAGTATGGTTCTGATGTGCTTTAAGTTACAAGATTTCTCCCATAAACACATGTAAAAACTTATTTACTGGATACTCCAAGAGACAAATGCATTTAAACCAGATGCTGATATAAAAAGCATGCTTAATCCTTGCAATGCCCACTGTATGCAAAGAGGTGGATTTCTATATCCAAGAAAATATGCAAAGAAAACATTCACCAGGTGGATTTCTATGTCCTGACGAAACTCTAAAAGATCCCACAACTAATAATCAGACAATTGTAGTTTTCTTGTGTAATCCTGGTCGTGGGGTAGAGTTCACAACTGTGTTTTAATTTGTTGCAAATTTGGCTGGAGTCAATAAATGCAGGAGTTGATGATCTGAAATGTGACATAAGTAAGGCATGCTTACTTAAGGACCAACTCCTGTTTATATGTACTAAATTCATTTAAAAAAAGAAAAAACCAACACAAGGTAAAGTGAAATCATACTGTTACCCTAACCCCTAGGCCCGTTTTGCCCTCAATCTTCCAATTTGGGGGTGGAAAAAATTGGATTCAATCCTCCAAAATTTCTTGAAAATGTTACTTGGAGGTGTGCCTACTGCCTCAATCCTTCAAAATCCTCCGGCAATTCCTGTCATTATGTTGAGGCAGTGCAAATGGCACTCTTGAGCAGTGCGGTTGATTCAAAAGAAATATCGGGCTGAATTAATGCATAAATGGGCAAGAACAACACAAGGTCTAACCCACGACCTTTATGCATGGCATCCTTCACAATAAGCCAAACACTTCTGCCATTCACCCTCAATCCTCCCAAATCCTCCCAAACCACCTGAAGGATTTTAGAGGATTGAGGAGGGTTAGGGTCAAAGAGATGATCGAGTACAGAAAACCGCAATCCAGAGAACATTACTGTAATGTTACACAATTTGGAGTTGGCATACATTTCATTTCTATACGGATTTGTTCTCAAATCTTCGATTTGACTTTAGCTTTTGTGACAACTTTCCAAACACACAATAAAAATAAAACATCAATCAAGTTTGATTTTAGAATTGCCACTTATAAATACCATCAAATTTAGATGGAATCTAAGCACATTTTGGGTTTACAAATGCAGAGTACATTGTTCATACCTTTTTAAAATTCAATACTATTACAAACAAATGAAGGACCCCAACGTTCTGACTGCAAATGAGTGGAATGACTATTCAAATTAATAACAAAACAAAATTTCAGATCTTTAATTTGGCCCCATGGGCCTACGTCCCCTCCAAAAAAAAAAAAGGAGAAAAAGCTGACATTTAGGTAAAATTAATATCATACCGAGAGAAGTGGAATTAAAATGTGTAGAAAATGTGCAATGACGAGTTTTAACAAGCCAACTAAATGCTTGTCAAAAGTTTCTAGGCCAAAAAATTCCACAGCTCTCCTGAGATGTAAAATGTCCCGCTGACAAGTTCTTCAGCTGAGCACCTGCTTGCAGTTGGACATTCTGAACTCACCTGTCGGCTCCTAATTGATTGGCTGATACTTATCTAGCACTCTCTCACTGGTGGAACTGTAATTGATGTCATCCTCTGCAAGCAGGGGCTCGCGAAGATCTGTATCTTCCGTGACCAGGGGAGGGAGGATTTTGTATCTCCGTAACAATGGTGCAAAGAGTGCATCATTGTAGATGAAGGTCCCTATGATGAGGAAGAGGAATCCTAGGAGCTCTCGCCAAGCAAAAGTCTCCCACTGGGTGAGGAGTGACACCGCCCAGATCACCATCGTGCGCAGACTGTCTAGCACCATCCGCGTGGTGGCGCTCATCTGCTTGGTCACACTGATCCCCGAGAAGTTGAAGAAGGCGATGGAGATGATCGTGCCTAGCGTGCCCACAAGGATGATGGTATTGTTCTTGATCTGCAGGAAGGCATCAATTGCATTTTCCAGGGCATGGTCAGGTAGCTCACTGAAGTCACCGGCATCGATGTAATAAAATGGAATCAGGAGGAGAGAGAGGGCACAGAAGCCAAAGACACCTGCAAGAAAGAACAAACGACAACCCAAAAATTAAGAGAACAGGTGAAATTAAGAAGCACTTAACTGCCACAGACTTTGTGCACAGATCAAGATCGTATAAACAAGTTGGTTTACTACCAATCCAAGGAATCAATGAATTTGTAAGAAATCATTGGGAAGTTATTCTCACACACTTTGTGCCACATGTGTGCAAACCAGTGTAACTTAGCTTGGGTTTTTACTGCAACGGAATTATTTCACTGCAGCTGAGACTAACACATGTGGGCAAGGCAGACACTGACTTCATACCAAAGTGACAAAGTCAAATGCACAATTAAGTGTGTAAAAGACCGCGCGAGAACCTGCGCATGAACTAACCCACACCTGCTCTATTCATGTGTACTACACTTCAGAGTGACGTCTCACTTTGGTCCTCTATGGCTACTGTGTGATTAATTCCAGTCAGATCCAAGCCATTCCTCCAAGGCCTTTCATGAAAGATCACACAGGTCCACGTACTGTCCTGCATTGAGCCAATAGCTCATCCTTTCCGTTACCAATAATCTGGCCTTCTCTTACCTTCCCAACCTACAGCTTGCAGGGCTGGAATCTTGTGCTTATAGAGAAAAGCTTCTTCAACAACCATCTGAGTTGCCGTGATGATCTGGGCCATGATGATCAGCAAATCACCTGGGAAAAATGAACATTTATTGGGCCAATTATTATACTGCCCTTTTCCTCCGACATTTCTTAAGCTCAGCTTGTGACCACATTGGCGTCCATGTTTTCATGTTGCTCCGAAGGAGTTACTTTTACCCCTGATTGTAAGGCTAATGTTATTTCTTGAAACTGGTACTGATCCCTGGGAAATTGAACATATATGTAATGTGGGAGTGTTGCTCTCCATACAAAACTGAACGCCAGACTCTAGATTTAATAGACAAATATGTCAAGTTATCTTGCAAATGCAAAACAGAACAAAATCGTTTCACCTGGTTTAAATGCACATGTACAGACCTTTCTATATACATGTACCAGAACAAGTTACAGGAAAAAATCAGGACAGGGCTGACAACCTGCCCAGTTCTTTTCCGGGGGAGAGGGATTCAAGAAGGTAAAAGCACTCATCAGCTATGAAATAATCAACTATTAACAACGGGTGAGGGTCACTTGGAAGGTTCTTTTTAAGCAAAGTGATAATCTTCACCCGCTTTCCATATCTCTTTTTAATTTCTTTCACTTTCCCCCTTTTTTTCTTTTTTCAGTTTTCAAGTTTTTTCCCCGGGGGGGGTTAGGTACATTCCTTACCCCCTTCCTCCATGCCAATGCAACTTACTGACAAGGCAACAGGTGGAGAGTGATGCTTAAGTGGATGTTTGGCTGGTTACATTTATGACATGAGTTCACCTGTAATGATGCTGTTGAGGCCACGCTTTCCTGACTGAATTTCCGTCAAGTCTGCTGTACCCACGAGCACCAATCCCACCAAAATGGCAAACATGCCCAGCCATTGGTGGAGGACCAGCCTGCGCTTCAGAAAAGCCACAGAGAGCAGACCGGTGAAAATGACGACGGCCCCACGCAGCATTTGGAAGCTTGACGCATATGTCAGATTAAGACCTGCCAAGAGTGCAAAAAGAAAGAGAACTTGAAGAGTTGTGCACTGGAGTTCAGCGTCTGAGTATCTGACCAATTATGTCTGTAACAGGTTCCAAATTACTGAACTGGGTACCAAGAACCCACTGTACAAACCACTCTGTAACTGTCACGACAAAGAAAAAAAGGTTGAAAGTTTTTACAGGAAATTTTGAAATAAAAACCTGGCTATATGGAAAATAATACAGAATTCACATGAACACTGTATGCCCAAAGGTTATTGATGAGTTTGCTGGGCATGACATAGTCGGCGATTTGAACACCATTTCTTATCTTTATTTTTCTCTTATTTTTTCTGCAAAATTTATGGTATTTTTTATTTAAACAGGGTACCTGGTTTCTGCACTCTCCATAAATACATGCCACTAATAGATTATTCTACACAAAAACAGAAGTGGCTTGACTTCTCTCACTCTTAAGCTACATGTATATACTGCCCTCTACAGTTCATGCATACAGCTAACATCCCTGAGGATATAACATTTGTCAATAAAGTACTGTTGATACTTGCCAATGTACATAAGAGATGTTGCACACATGTCGCACATGGCTGGAGGAAGCATCAGAAATGGACTGAATGTCTGTGGGCCAAAATCTTTGTTGGTCTTCTTGTACTTGTTGTAGTAAAAAATGATCTTGAATGCCAGGAGACACGTCATCTCTCCCAGGAACATGCACGAGGCCTAAAATGGGAGGTATCAGTATTGATCAGCATTACTCTTTTGAAAATGCAATAGTAAATCTGGTGACACAATGAAAAAAATACTTCCTGGTGAATATTCATGAGTACAAATCTTTGATTATCAGGAAGGAATAAACTGAAGTTCATATTTACAGTTCAAAACAAAGAGTTGTCTTTTTCCTAATGTATCATAGATTTGAAATCTTGATCTTTTGGGAGGAGATGGGAGGAGGGAATCCTTGCAGCTACCACTTGAGAGCTTTTCAATATTTGCATAATTAAATTAAACAAGTTAGAATAACGCAAATGGGAACGGACTAGTTTGTTTCATCAGACATAAAGAAAGAAAGAAAGAAGAAAGAGTGATTGAAATTCAAACGTGAGGGCTGCAAATCACCTCATCATTATCGTTTACCTGCGTAAAGCCACACCTCTAAGGTGGTATGGAAATGTGAAGAAATATGTTGCCGTGTTTGGACAATTTTTTCAGACTACAGACAGGTGCACATTCAGTTCTAACGAGCCGCTGTAAACATCCAAGTAAACTCACGGTAGAATACATTTATCACTGTGTATTCAGAAAAGTCATTCTTGATGGCCCACAATGCACTTGTTGACCTTCTGAGGAATGTGTGTTAACTTGATGCTCATTTTTGCGGCTTGGGTACGTGTATGAAATCTAAAAAGTTTAGATAACTGATAAAGAGCGCCATTCAATGTGATTCCTACTCGCTGGAGCTTTTAATAGATTTATGATTTTAGTCATTGATTAGTTAGGGGTATTGCAGCATACCTGCGTACAAAAATTGTTTATTTCTATGGAGTGAATTTTTATGTGTGGCCTTTGACAGAAGTGGCAAGTTTCTTTTGCTGTCCAGTGTAGCTTGATAGTTTGAAAAATCAACAAGATTCCGTCTCTTTGTTTCTTGCTGCTTCTTTCTCATTCAGTCATTACGAAGGATTTCAAGATGAAAGGACAAATCTCTGAGCATGTCTTTGTTTACTTTAAAGTGAAATTAAAACCGCCCAAGCCCTTTTGGCTAGGATACACCCTCAATCCTTCAAAATCCTCCAACTGCCCCCATGAAAAAATCGGGTACAACTTCAACCCTCTAAAATCCTTAGGCAATTCCACTGATTATGTTGAGGCAGCGTGAATGGCATCCTACAGCAGTACAGGAGGATTTCACATGTGGGCATGAATTGATGTCTGGCTGAACCTAAACAACACTAGGTCTAACCCACAACCTTGTGACAATGCATTCTTCGCCACCAGCAATGTAATTTTGCCATGCAGCCTCAATCCTCCAAAATCCTCCAAATCCGCCGGGAGAATTTTGAAGGATTTGGAACGGTTAAGGTTTAGCCATTATGAATACAAGGTCTTCATTAGAGTATGTCATCTTGGATTACTGCAGCCATCGGTATATAAATGTCTCCGATGAATCAAGAGTTGTAATGACTTGGGTCAGTGACTTGACTTCACAATTTTTAGTTTAATACTCGACCCGATTTCTTTACCGAATGACTCAAGTCACTGCATTAAAATGACTTGACTCAAGTCGCAAACTTTACAACTTTGAGAAGCACACGTCAGTATATGTACTCATGTTAAAATGAATGCAAGGGATGGAATGACAGCTAAATAAAACACCTGTCCTGTCCTTGTCACCACTGAATTACACTTTGTCGACTAGAATCTCATCATAACAAGTTGAGGGGCAAATTACTAAGTTAAAACCAGGATTTCATGACAAAAAAGAGTAGAAAAGCAAAGAAAACACATGAAATCAAGAAATCCAAACTCTCAGAATTTTATGAGAGTCAACTGTATAACAAAGCATCTTACTTGAAAGAATGGATGGTAGAATGAATGAGGATTATTCCCATACTTGGGATCTCCCACAGCACTCTGAAGGTCAGCCCATCTGGAGTAACAATGACAGACAGAGGTCATGTTTAGACTGTGATGAGTGTGAAATCATGAGGGAGGTCAGACACCTGTTGGACACCTGTTGTCAGTTTTGTGATAACAGGACATGTCAAGGGTTGGTACACATACATTTCCAGGGCAATAGAGGGTCTGCATGGCTGCCATCTTGCAGGCCAGTGCTTTTGTTACAGAGTATGCACAGAGGAGGATTCCCTGTGGAACAAAAGAACTACCTTGCAAGATGGCTACCATGCAAAGCCTCTATTGTTGCAATGGCCAGATGATATGAAATGACAGGAAATACTGAATGTTGTGGCATTGACTATTTAGATACACATTTGTACATAACAACGGAAGTAAGTGTTCATGTACATGTAAAAGAGCCATAAACTAGCCATAAATGTAAATGACATAACCAAAGCCCTTGGTCTTTTTGGATGGGACGCATCAACCTCCCTTCTCCCAATTCCTGCCCCAAAGTAAAAAAGTACTGTACTGTATGCTAATGGGAAATGCAGGTTTTGTTGCAGGGCCCAGGGAAGGGTGAGCAGAAGGATATATGATTGTTTCTGGATGATTTTTGCCTTCTTATTTTGGGTGGCCAAGAGGGGTGGTGGAAGAATGCGGGTTTGTGTTGCAAGAGATGGGCACTATGCCAATGTATATGTAGGCCTACAGCTTAGAAAAGTAACTAAGCTTATAAAATGCCTCAATTAACAATCAGCAAAAGTCTTTCCTTCACACCTCTTGCCCTTGTACAACTTCCACATCAACATTTGCAACTTGAGAGCGAAAAGTCAACAGTCCTTGAAAGAGCAAGGATTATAATTGTAAAAAGCCAGGCTGTTATTGTCCACAATAAAGAAAATGGCAATCAATGGGCTTACTTGGTGCTGAGTGTGTTGATTGAGCCGGTAACCAACATCATACCAGCCAAGAAGAACTGATACGGAGTCCAGCCCATAGTGACAGGTGTGTTGACACGTCTTGTTTCTTGGCTGGAGATACAAGGTCATTAGTTCTCATTACAATACGAATAATTAGTTAAAAGCTGTGCAAAATTATTGAAGATGAACAAAGAAAAACTGTCATTTGGAGTAAATAGAAGCTTGCCAAGAAACTAAATCACAACAACCTATTTTCCCTGGGAACCTCACCTAGAACCAACCAACCCAAACAGTTACATTTACAATACAGAACTAAAATGGTAAAAACTGAACTTCAAGTTTGCAGTAAATTGCCCGATCATTCAGGGCTTTACTTGCACACACCAACATACAGTAACTTGTTAAAAACAGGAAATTTTGAATTGTTAGGTACACTTGTCAGTGTATGAAGTATACAGAGAGTATACAACTTCAAGCCTGGGAATATTTCACTTCAATACCCACCAGAATTGCTGAGAAAAACTACTATCCAGTTGTATTCAGAATCATTACAGGCTTGAATGCTTGGCAAAATCTGTCATTTCCAGATTTATTTAAGTAAAACCAGGGAAAATTGGGCAAAACGAAGGCCTAGCCTACCTGTAAAGGTGCAGCCAAGCATTTGTTTAATTCTGAACACAACTGGACAGTTATTTCGAAGATGTTGCTGTTCCTAATAGATTTTGGTAGAGGCAAGTAAATTCTTCCTTAAGTTAGGGCCTTAGGAATTTAAAGCAAAAAAGCCTCCTGTCATAACCTGTAGGAGAATGGGGTTTGTCACGCCCAATGCGTTTAAGGGTGTCCTGTCATCTGATGCAAATTTTCAGCAAGTTTACCTTAACCTGACAGGTTTACTCTCACTGTACATGTACATACAGGTACACATGTACATGTACAGTGTACATGTATGAAGGCCACGTGGTAGTGATGCAGTTACGGCAGCGGCAGAAGGGGCTACAGCGTAGCACTAAAACGACCACGAGCTTGCACTCACCATGGAGGATGTGTTCCTTCCTCCATGCACTCACCAGTGAAAATGACAACTGACGGCTTGGAAACTTGCGTTGTTTGGCAATGTCACTTTTGCAAGTCCGGCTCTCCAATCTGTCAATGGCAAAGTTCCAGCTCCGTTTTTTTGCTAATAATTTCGCTTGAGTCTTCCAGTTTTCTTACTCCACGGGCAGCCTAACGATACAAAAAAGTTAACTTATTGGCATGACTGAATTACGATTAATACGAATAACGTTAGTTTACAGCAGAACTCTTCGATTTTTGGAGTCTCCAGAGGCTGTCTGGCAGGACAGGCAGCGAAAACGATTTTAATGACCAGATATCAGACTGAAACGAGATATAAGAATATTAATGACCAGTGATAACCGCACTATCACATATCAGTATCATATGCAAACATGCCGTGTGTCCTGTGTTACCTGCACCGGCGATGTGGCAATAATATTTCCGTCTTCGGCTGGCCTAGCCTCCGAACGTGCCTGCGCTGCACGCTAGTCAGTGCCATGTGATTAGAAAATCACGTGACTCCCATTGTGAACTCGATCGATTAACAGAATCAAACCATTATTCTCTATGGATTAAAAATTCATTTGAAATGTGAACAAACAATCTACTGTACCAAAAATAGAAATTTTACGGCAAATTTCCACGACAAACGTTAACAATACGTTATTCAATTCTATATATATTATGTGAAGTCCCCACGTCTTCAACTGGCCTGTTGGTCTAGTGGTATGATTCTCGCTTAGGGTGCGAGAGGTCCCGGGTTCAATTCCCGGACAGGCCCGGTCTTATTTTGGTCCCTTTTTTTTTATAAAACAGTATTTAAAATGTGCAACATTATGAAATTGCTTTATTTGCGTCATACTGTTCCCTTTATACGATTTTGGTTTCCATGGAAAAACACTTTTGTACTTCCATAGATAATATATACTCTGTTACCAAAAAAAAATACATTCTTGAACAGGTTTTGGGTAGGAAATCTTTTTCGCATACCAAATTATAAATTTGTAAGCTTTCTCCCTTTTCATTAGCATGACAACTGAAATCTAGGTCCATATCATACTACGCACTGGAAAAGACATGACTCGTGTCTTTCTGGGGGAAGCTGTGGCTTTAAATAAGTAAATCTGCACAGGAAAAAATCCTATTTATGCTCGTCAGAAAGAAGTGTTGAGCCATCCTATCCTAACAATTCTCCCACACAAGCAGTACATTGGAAACCAGACGTGCAGAAAAACTAAAGCTAGGTATCAACAACATGTACATATGTAACAGTGTTTATTGAAAAACCAATACTTTTGTAATTATTCAGAGTACTACACAAGAAAGTTAAAGAAATGCAACACACTGTTTCATCAGTTTTAATCAAATTCGTCAGGTCTCGAGTTTCTACATACATATTTTCAAGTTCTATTCACATATACAAACTTTTTAAGTGCCCCCCTCAGCGCAAAATATACCAACAGTTTTTCATTCCACAACCACACTGAATGAAGGAGATCAATTTGCATAAATAATCTGACAGCTTGCATTCAAAATGTCAATAACAGGTGTCAACAAATCTTTCAGCACAAGTTTTTTTCTGTTAGGTAGATGGCAACAAAATACCCAGGTCTTCAGAACAAGATATTACTTAGAAAAAAACGATGTTTACACAAAACTGCCGGTCTGTCACCATGCACTAAATGCACAGCATCGGTCTTTGATTTAACAACGGGATACAATGGTACTTATACCGAATGCAAACTAATCTTTGAAAGCTTTTACCTAAACCCCAAGGCTTAGAAAAACTGAACATTCCCCTTTTGGGGGTGGGCCATTCACATGGCACTACATACTTTAAAGATCTTTAACCTACGGTTATTTCACAGGTAAATTCAGCTTTGTGTGTTCACAAAGATTTACATCAGTAAAATATGTCAGTGCCGATCATAAAAGAAGCTCAACTCATCGACCCTTACCCCTTATAAAAAGAATACCTCTCTACACACATGTATGCAGAAAACACCAAAACAATGTGTGCTGAACCACATGGGTGATATTCCTAATTTGAAGTTCAAGCTGATACAGAAGTACATCTGAGAAAAGAATTACGTTGAAAAAGTTTGTGAATTAGCACAGAAAAAGAGCATTTTCTCTCCCTCAAAATAAACCCAAATTAAATTTCCCTTTCCTCCTTACCTCTGAAACATGTATACTGTAAGCATTCTTGAGAAAATTTCAAGCATTTGCAAAGAAACAACACGATTCTGATGAGAAGTATGATTCACTGAAACTCTCACATACGTATATGTATTTTCAGAGAATATACATTTATGAGAAGAAATCTTGAAGACAAATTTCAATGTATTGTGCTCCGTTTTTTTTACAAGTATTTACAGTAATAATTATAAAAGGATAATACAACACAACTGAATTGAAGATAGGTTCCGGGAATAAATAAGTTGTTGCAGCTTTGCGAGAGGACTGATCAAAAGTCATGAAATGTGACAAAATTAAACTTTGCGACTTTGCAGTCACAAGAAGTGTTTCTGGACAAAAAACAGAAATGCATTTAATGAGTGCCAGACTTCTATCAAGAAAATCTCAGCAACAAAATCCAACATGGTTGGTTGGCAGGGACAATATCAAGACAGAGAGTAAATCTAAGGAAAGAATCAATGATCTTGGAGGACCTGTCTTTGAGACTAACATTTCAGTGACCACTTTGGCCAGAAAAGACCAGAATTGCAACCCCCTCTGGTCACAGTTGATTGCCAACAGTTTCCAACTTCTAATTTCTAAACATCCCATGAACAGTTTCACAATTTGACAATACAAGTGCACATATATTCCAATCATACAGTGTCTAAATGAAGTGTGGTCATGGAATGTTGCCGAGATGTCCAGTATTTTTAATGACCAATCACAAATGCTTTATTTTGCCGCCCAGGATTTTTACCATTCTACTATTAACCCCTATAAAAACATCTCTAGTGAGCTCTAAAGTATGGATGGGTGTTGCTGAAACTCTTAGCGAATGACATCTCCTGAATCTTCCTTGCCACGATACTTGGCTTTGCCTCGGGTCCATGGAAGATACTTATACTTGACCATATGCTGCAGGAAAGAGCAAGAAAATGAAGACAGTTTGGAACTAAAAGTTCTTCAGAGTACTTGGGTTATTCTATAAATCAGGGGTCAATTTTTTTTCCTAACCCAATTACAAGCAAAAATACTACAACACTATGTTGAAGTTGAGTATACTTCCATGAGTGCAAGTACGAGTGTGGAATAAGTACTCAACTATGAGCATAAGTACTACAAAACTGTGCTATAGTTAAGTATACTGCCATGAGCATCAGCGCAAGTATAATACAGAAAACAAGTTCAAATAAGAATAATAATAGTACCAGAACACTGTTAGGGGTGACGGGGTCCCACAAAGTACTGACCTTAATTTGTCGCTTCATTGTTAGACAGAAGAGAATGATGAAATACATGACCAAGATGGGCCAGAAGACGGGAACATCAAAGACTTCAAAGAATGTACAAAAGGTAGCAACCAGGACAGCTTTGGTAGCAGACAACCTAGAGGACAATCAAAGATAAGAAGATACATTACTTGAATTTCTAACATCTTTATAAGTCTCATTTAGAGGGTAAACTGCCACGCACCAGACACGACGAGACATGGTTTATTTCACATCTTACAATTCAGAAATACAATGAATTGGTACAACACACTTACTGTTACAGATGCATTTTTGAGCAAGAAAACATTCACCAAACAGTAAAGATTGGAATCAGAAATCATCTGTACCTCCTTCTAAAAATCCTTCCATTTTGGAAGAAAAAATCTTAAATATGTAATCTTAACAGTCTCTAATCAAATCCATGAACTGTTGACAGATTGATAACTGTTAAGGCCGAGATGTTCTGGGTTTCAGCTTACCAAAATTTAAACTCAGGTAATCTTCTGATGAACGGTCTGAACTCTTCATTGGATTTTGTTGGTAACTCAGGGCCATCCTCTGCAAGAGGAAAAACTCAGATTATTTAACTCGTTCAGGTGAAGCTGAGAGGACGGTATCAGGGTGAATTCATAAATACAATTACCTGAGTCGTCTGTCAGTGCTGGATCAATTTTGGGTGATAGGAAAGCAATGAAGAGGTTGAGATGGTAAATGCCGAGCGCATAGGTGACTATATACCAGCCCTGTGCAGAAAAATACACAAACCAAAAGAACAGAAAATCATCACAACCGATCAAAAGAGACCAATAGGTTTTCAAACAAACTTTCTACAATTGAAAACAATGTTTACAATTTTTTTCTCCGGAAGGATGTATTGGAATTTATAGTTTGCCACATGACTTGTTTAACAAGTTGATTGCAGACTACAAGTATACTCATACTAACAGGTGTACCGGATTCTGCCGCTACGAGTGCACTTGTGGGAAATGAAAGGCTATTGTAATGTATTGAACACACAGGCATCAGCGCTGTTGGCAGTGTTGAAATACATCTATAACATGCTCATGTTCACACAGACACCTGAAAGGCACCTATTAAATGTGCGCGCATGTATACAATACTTAGCAAATAGGAACGCCCTGTGAAATTATGCGCAGCAGTCCACATGTTAAAGACAATGACAGCCTCCCTTACAAATCCACCTCATTAAGGAGCGCCTGCCATATCAAGGCCTTAAACTTCTGTAATTTTCTTGCATCCACATCTGAATGCTGAGGGTGTTGAGTGACAGATTGAGAGCTGACCTGCAGAAGCATCACTCTCAGGACGTAGAGAAGACACAGGATGACCGTCAGTGACCATCGGGCCACGGGATGAGGCACTGACTTGTCCAGTATTATTTGATATCTCTGCAATGGAATATTAAACAGAATCTGCATAGGAGAGTCATGCATCCACAAACCAAAGCAAAAAACCAAGAAAATCCATTATGCTGACAGTTTTGGAAGTCCATACATTTTGCAGTTACATGTTGGTAGAACCTCTCTAAATACTTGAAAATGAAACTAGATGTACATTAACCTCGCTAAGTTCCAAATTTATCTTTGAAATATGGACGTGCTGCATAGCACAGTGTCGCGGAACACTTGGGCAGTGTGCGCCAACAAGCATCTGGTCTCACTCTTGCGCAGCACTTTTGCGCGCCGCCACATACCCTTGGTGACGTAAGCGTCTGCATCCTGCGGAAAGCGTCATCGGATGTACAGCGTAAGGAACTGGAGCAGCGCGTCATTTTCTAACTTAGAACGCTGCAATCCAGGGGGAATGACCGTAGATTTTTCTGCGTTCATTCAAAACTGAATCTGCTTGCCCAGAAGAAGGTACTCAGTTACCGAAAGCTCAGCAATTACATGTTTCAGAGCACTGATTGTACATTATATTCTTGTCAATATTCACAAATTTATCTTGTTTTCTTTGATTTTTAAAAGTAAAATACTATGAACTTCTTTCTTGACATCAATTTCCACAGAATACCATTCCGTCATATAACAAGCTTTCCTATCATATGGTTGGATTCAGCAGACTCAGCAGCATAATAATTGCTGTCGGGCTTGAATAACAGATTTATCCCTTCAAGTTCCAAGGTATGGCGACTCCTACAGTGTTAACAATTGGGTACATGTATCAGGTATACACTTACAATGTTCAACATTACAATGTAGATCAGATCACTCCAGCTACGTGTACTTACCATGCCAATACCTCTGTAAAGTCTGACCAAAAACCCTGGCTGACTGCTGACCGAGTTGCCAGGCACATTGTTTGGTGTCCCATCCATGAAGAATGATGATGTGACTAGATACAAGCAAAAAGACTACAGCATTACACAATGAATACTTCAACGTGTTCAAGGCATGTCTTTAATTAATGCCTGAAATCCAAACTGCAGGATTGTCACAGACTTTGAATTCTAATATCTTCCGAAATGAGAATGACTCGACAATTTTACTTACACTGACACATTTGTCAGAGTTTGGACTTTTATATGAGCACCCTAAAGCTTTCCAAAACTGCATATTTTCTGATGTATTGCACCTCGAAAAACTAGGCCTGTGATATTTATATGCTGACTGTGGTCGGCGCCATTCTGAAAAACGAAGGCAGTGCTTTGTGCGCAGAAAGTCAAGGCACCCGACAGGTGTCGTGGATGAATAATTCATGTTGTCACAGTACTGCTAAGTTGCGCATAGACAGAACGCCCACAGCACATGTAGCATGGTACAGTGACATGCATATTAATGTTATTTAAATTTAATTTCACCGGTTCCTTGTTCATCTGTCATGCAAGATGTGACGGGGTACCAGTTTTGTATGGTACAACCTATACCAGAGCACCTGTCGGGTGCCTTGAAATCCAAAAGCACAAAGCGCTGACTTCGTTTTTCAAAATGGTGCTGCCCACGGTCAGCATATAAATCTGAGCGATAAGATACTACATGTACCAATGGGCTCTTTCAAAACTTGGGCAGCAGTTTAGATATGTCTTGACATGGAACAGCCGTCGAGACGATGAGGGGTCAAGTGACAAAATGTTCAACGACCTTATTTTAAAGATGGCGACTGTGAGAGCGAGCCCGTGAGATTGAATGGGTGAAGGCAAAAAGACTGGAAAATACCAGAACAACGTGAGTGAAATAATTCAATAAATGGCGTTAAGAAAGTGGAGAGGCTAAGGATCATCTCTGTATGCAAAAGAAATTGCGCCCACAAGGATAAGTGGGTGCGCTGAAAATGTTCAGTACGCCGACACAAAATTGCCTATACGGATGTGTGGTTAAGGATAGAGCAGGAGTGAGAGTCCGTGCCACACAGTTCAGTAGTAGTAGTAGTGGGGCTAGAGAGAGCATAGACATGCTAGACACAGGCCTACCCCAGAACTGTGGGGTCTGATATCCGCCCGGCTCCCACGTTTAAGGTTTACAATGACCTTATATTTCTGGGAGAAATACTGAACCAATTCAACTTTTTTGGCCTGGTCATTTAATCTTAAACTTAAGTTAAAAGGCATGAAAGGTAAAGAGCAATGGATGGAGGGCGTGCTTTCCCAAGATCCATAACTTCATGTAGTATCGACCATATCTGATTCACCTTTTCTACGATGAATAACGTGCTAACGAGAATACTTTACACCTACCAACACCAAAACACAAGAAATCCTCCGATTTACTTCAGTCCTATGTCCGAATGATTTGAAGTAAATGAAAATGACCCGGCAAAATCTGGATTTATCGGGGTTGTAGTGGTTTATCGCACCCAAGGTTATCACACAGTCCGTCAGTTCCACGTCGTGACCTCGTTCCAGTAAATTAAATCTTGTAATCAGCAAAACTGAAAATTTTGACTTCATTTTTATCTCTAGCTCTTTCAAACTATTCCCTAGATATATATTAATATTTAACTTAATCTGAAATGTAAATTAAAGTATTTAGTTTAATGGTCTTTGTGTATTTCACACTATTTTCACGAAATTAATTTACAGGTTACAGTTGAAAGATCGTGACCTGCCGGTTTCTGACTGCCCAAAATCGGATGATCGCTGCTCGGAATAGCTCACATTCTTACAGGTTTTCTGCAGTGTGAGGCGGCGTAAGTTTCGTTATCTTTAAACAGGTTGTGCGACCATGATGCGACAGTGTTTTTGTAAGACGATGTGCAAAATTTGTAGGTTTAGGTCGGCATTTACAAGAAATAGGCCTTGTGACTTGGCAGCGCCTGCCGTGACTAAGTTTTTGATGGGGGATGGGCCGTGGACGCGTCGGATTTCATGCGTACGTGCTTGACGTGCGGACGCCGTCACTCGCCAGATCATCAGTACGGGCATGACGGGCGCACGCACGAACAGGCGGACTGTTCATGCCTAATACTTGTCCGCAAATTGAAGGACAATAACTCTAGAAAATTGTTCTATTTTAATCTGAAGTTGTTCAAGTTGTAGTCCTAGCCTGAGGCCAAGGCTACATGTACCTCAAAAGTGGAGCGTTTTACATCTTTCCAGCGACTGTCCGTAAATTTGAGGACAAGACTCAAGACACAGTGGACATGCTTTCTAACATTTAAATTGCTAGTTTTGTTTCCCGATCTCAGGACAATCTCTGGTCGTACTCATTCAGGCTTTTTTAGTGGTTTTACAGGCTTAACATGACATGCTTAAAGTTAATGGACATGATGGAATGGTATTATATACATGTTATAAAGCCTGTAATTTTTAGTTCAGTCATTTGATGCTTGATGCGTAACAAGTATTTATTTGGGCTTATAGTAGGTGAGGCCCATACAAAGTGCAAAATTGTAATTTACAGTGCAGTTTAATTTGTTGTGTAGGATTACGTTACCCCTAGAACTGTGGGGTCTGACGCCTGCCCCGCTCCCACGGGGTGAATGTCGGACCCCATAGATCTGGGGGTAGGATCACGTTTGTTTGCCGTTAGGCCGAATACAAAAACAACATTCTGCTTTCAGTACTTATAAGTTTCTTCAAACTCCACTGTGTGTTCTGATTAGGCCCTTGGTCTGTTGCTAGGGTGGGGCCTATGTCTCGTGAGGTGGTGATGTTCCAGATTTCTTAGAAATAATTAAAACCCAACAAAACAGGAACTGTTATCAAGAACAATCATTCCTAAAACAAAAAAACCAACCCACTCCCCTTCCTCTAAAAAAAACAAAAACAACTGAGCTTTCTCCAGAAAAAAGTATGTTTGAACAGTTCTCACAAACAGCCTTTGGGTAGAAGAAAGGAAAATAAGAGTAACGTGCATGGTGATTGGTCTCTTGCTATTACCATTTGATGAAAATTAAATATGCCATAATTCACTCTTTGCAGAGCTTCAGTATCAGGTACCAGTGAAACATCATGCCGATTTCCAAGATTTTTGCTCGTCAGATCTTTGACAGTCGGGGTAACCCAACTGTGGAAGTTGAGCTAACAACTGAGAAGGGTAAAAGCAATTCTAACAAATAGTACAGAAAGACTAATTTAGCCCTCCTTTTGCTGTAACAGTCACTGACAGTCCAAAATTCCTTCCACTTGATTTGCCCCAGTACACAGACACATAGGGGTCATTTGACTGGTTTTGACTGACAGGACAGCTACATGTATGTTGAGAATGCATCTTTGTAAGGAGAGTTCTAATGAATACAGAAAGATACAGAAAATATGAGCAATGATGTTGCCAGACATCTTTAACTGTTCATTTCTTTCTTATCAAGTAGTGTCGAAAACATATTTTATATGTTGTGGGTACTTGTAGGAGATTAGTAATGCTTATTGGTGTTTGTCTAAGATTGACTAATAATATATGTGTATATTTTCAGTTTTGGCAGAGTGATATCATTTTCAAACTAAGTAAATATGAGGCTTGAAATAATAAAAGGTTTGTGACATTGGTTGCTTTTCTCAGGAGTGTTCCGAGCAGCAGTTCCGAGTGGTGCTTCCACTGGCATATATGAGGCCTTGGAACTCCGTGACAAGGACCCGAGTCGATTCCTGGGCAAAGGTGTGGACAAGGCCATCTCCAATGTCAACGACATCATCGGGCCAGCCCTGATTGCAAAGGTCAGATCGGGCATGGCTTTACTTGCCACAAAATTCTGTACTCCAGATCAGCTCTAAGGGTGGGACGTTTACACATTCGAACAAAAAATATTCCAAATCTGTTCACAGATTTTCCCAAACATTTAAATGGAACCACCCCTTTTGGAGGATTGACGTTTTTATTGACACAATCTGGTGTTCATTTTTATTGTAAACAATGCTTGTAAAAGATAATCTGATTTTCAGAACACTTTACTGCTCGGTCACATCAAAGGAACTCCATGAATTTATCACCAGAACTTTGTGTCAACTATCTACATTGTATACAATTTGTTGTGTTTAAAGTTTCCAGTGGCACTGTGGTAAGGATGGGGCGTTTACACGTTTAAACATTTAAATGGTATAGGAAAGTTCCCTGAACATTTTTTTCAAGTGAAACATAAATTCCCATCCTTAACCCTAACCCTCCTCAATCCTTCACCTGTTGGAGGATTGAGGAGGGTTAGGGTTAATCAGCAGTCAGTGCTAGCCCTTTAGGCATTGTACCAAACCCTGTGCATATTTCCTTGGCTGGTAGACCAGACTGAAGAACTTCAGTATTTGAATTGACACCTTTGGTTGGTTTCATTTTTGTCCTATTATTTAGAATCCAGATGTCACCAAACAAACAGAGGTGGACAAGATCATGCTTGATCTGGACGGCACAGAAAATAAATGTGAGTTAAAAACATCAGATTTTTTCACATCTCTGAAAAGTGTTTTCTTTTCTAGACATATTATTTGATTAAATGAAGTTTTGCGGAGTGTACACCAACTCTGTTTTAGGACACATGTTTTTTTGATAATTCTCGTAGTTTCTCTATTTCTCTTCTCTTTTGTTCTACAAAATAGGCTTTATGTTTCTTTCCTTTTACATATTGAAGGTATAAACTTCATGAGTAACTCTCTCTAAGTCCCTGTTTCTACAAGGACTTAGAGCTCTCCAAAGTAGATAGTTGTTGTCTTGAAGTCTTGTTCATTTGTTCCTCAACTCGCGGTTCACTTTAGCCAAGCTTGGAGCTAATGCCATCCTGGGTGTCTCTCTTGCTGTGTGCAAGGCTGGAGCAGCACACGCTGGGGTCCCTCTCTACCAGTGGATTGCTAAACTGGCTGGAAATGATCGCGTCATCCTGCCTGTACCGGTAAGATTGCTTTTAAAAGTGGACTTGTGCTATCAAAAACAAAAAAATATTTGGGAGGAAATTGGAGTACTTGTAAATATGTACAGACTGCCACTGTCAACTGCATTGAAATTTGCAAAAAGCCACTAGCACTGCTGAAGAACATACATTTTTATGTATTTCTTGATGACAATTCCATTGTTGTGATAAATAGGGAATTTTGATCGGCCAGGGCAATCCTAGCAAAATATTACTTGAATGGTAGCTATTTAGCATTTGAGTGTAAAGGTCCCATCTGTCAAACTCACATTAATGTCTGTGGGTTGAAAACTAGAAATTGTGACAAGTTACGGATCACAGTTCATGATTTGCTTTTGTTTCTAGGCTTTCAATGTGATCAATGGAGGCAGCCATGCTGGTAATAAACTGGCTATGCAGGAGTTCATGCTGCTCCCTACAGGTTGGTGGTTTTTTTTCCAGAGTTTGTTTTGTCGTAGTGTCTCTTCGGCCTGTGGGTTCTGATTTTTATTTTGTGACAGAGTTTTGGAATGAAGGGTTAACCCTCACTGTGGCATTGCTATCTCACAGCAAGATAAAAGTTAATTGGAATTTTTCTTGGGGAGGGGTCCAGAGTTTACTGTTTTGTGATGATTGTTATTTATTGTGAGACGTAAAATTTACTATCCAGGAAAGATAATTGGTTAGAAAAAGCTAAGCTGCCTGTCTTGCTACAGTTTTGTGATTTCTGCGACTCATTCGTTCCTGCAGGTGCGAGTTCCTTCAAGGAAGCCATGAGAATTGGCGCTGAGATCTATCAGAACCTTAAAGCTGTCATCAAGAAGAAATATGGACAGGATGGTAAGCAAGAAAGTCCACAAACGTACACGCAATGGTTTGTCTGTACACTGAGATTTAACAGTAAAGGCCTCTCATCCTGTTACTTTAGATTGAATAGATGAGATTAGATTAAATAGATGAGATTAGATTGAATAGATGAGATTAGATTGAATAGATGAGATTAGATTGAATAGATGAGATTAGATTGAATAGATGAGATAATGTTAATTGATATTAAGGTCTGCAAGGCAATTGTGCATTAACAAGGACTTGTACTATTTGTTTTTCAGCTACCAATGTTGGTGACGAGGGAGGATTTGCACCGAATATCCAGGACAATCGTGAAGGTTTGTGCTGCATAATCTGTAGAACTTTTTAAAAAGTTCTTTATTAAATGATTGAGCATTTAGTTATTTATGTGTCTGCTTACTAAGCATCTTAAAACAAGAGGGGGACCTTTGACGTTAGCTAGGAATACAGGTGGTTGTAAGATTACACGTTATTCTCACTGAGAGGATGCTGCCAACATCAAGTGGTGGCCAAATACGAGTTTGCACCACTTATTTCATGATAGCTGATTGGTAGTACACTTGAATTGCAATCCAGAATTCTTGGGTTCAAGTCCCATTCAGGCAGTTTCTTGTGTGCTTCTCATTAGGTCTTGAACTGTTGAAGGTAGCCATTGAGAAGGCGGGCTACACTGACAAGGTGAAAATCGGCATGGATGTTGCTGCGTCGGAGTTCTATCGAGATGGGAAATATGACTTGGATTTCAAGAGCCCCAACCCTGACCCCAGCAAACTTGTGAGTGTGCTGTGCTTTCATTCAGTTGATGGGCAAGTACGAGAGCATCCACTCCGAGTGGAACAATAGAGGGCATGGTTTTTTTGGTACTCACCGCATGGGCGCACCTTGAGGCGCGCAAGTATATGTGCGCTTTACATGGAGCATGCTGAGTACGTGTAACTGAGTTTATTCCGGCATGTATGGTTATTGCGTACACGCAGAACGCATGCAAGAACCACTTGTAATCACCTTTAATGACCTGTAATCACGTCTTTCTTTTGCCAATTGGGGGTGCACTTCAGCTCGGGGCAGATAGCTGCTATATGATAGACTCGTGGTTTTAATGTCAGATACGTTTCTGTGTTTAACATGTCGGCTAGCTGAGTGGACTGGTCTTGGTTCCCACCTTCTTGTTAGTTTTTTTTACTGGCAGGCTGTCAAGCTGGCTTTGCCAATACTCCCCAGCTGGTCGGTCATTAACTGGTCGGCTCACTTGCTGCTTTAGAAAATGACCTGAAAAGAGAGTGGTAAATTTCTCGGTTAGTTACAAATCATCACAGGCTGAGTGGGAACTTGGAATGTAGGTCATGTATTGATGCTGATGATTTGGGCTAGTACCTGACCTCCGTGCTTATTCTTGTTCACAGTTGACAGGTGGTCAGCTGTCTGACGTGTACCGCGACTTCATCAAAAACTACCCAGGTGAGACACTTGTCAGTGAATTCCTAATTTCAAAGCTCATTTAATCCATGTTTTAACTGGACATTTACTTCTAGATGTCTCCATAAAAAGTTATCCTTGTAAAGTGATTTTTGCTTTGTTGGAATTAGACAAATTTGCCTTTTGTGTTTGCCCCAATACAGGCGTTTCACAATAGTGCGCCACCAAGAGATTGCAATGCGTTGACCAATCACAATGCGCGAAATTAGTCGACCCCATGCGCGTTCGGAAAGGGTCGACAAATTTCGTGCGCTGTGATTGGCCAACGCATTGCAAACACATGGTGGCACATTATTGTGAATCGCCCCTATTTCATTGGATAGTTGTCTCTATCCATTACTTGCCTTGTTTTGATTAGACAGTTTCTTCATACAGGGATGGATCGGGGGGGGGTTACACCCTACTTTTTCACCAAATAACTTAATTAGTTTTAAAAAAAAGAAGAAAAAAAGAGAGGGAGAAGAGAAATGAGGGTCTGAAATTACACCACAGAGCGCCTAGAATCCAATCAATCCTAGAATTCCTTAAGCAGACCCTAGACCCTATGCCATAAGGGCTTCATGCTACGCGCTCGCAGACATGTTACCATTGCTGCTTTACGGCTCCCCTCCGTGGAAAATCCTGGATCACACCCCCCCCTTTGATAAATCCTCAATCTGCCCCAGTCATGAGCCCTGTTTTGATTGGTTAGTGAAATTGTTCAAGTAGTTATTAGTCCTACAGCTGTTTCTATCATAGTTACCAGCTCTATTTTGCATTGTTTTGATTGGATAGTTGTGTCTATTGAGGATTGTCACGACCAAGACGACTGGGATTCTTGGAGCGCATTCACTGGCTCTGTGGACATCCAGGTAGTTGGTGATGATCTCACAGTCACTAACCCTAAGCGAATCAAGACCGCCGTTGAGAAGAAGGCATGTAATTGTCTCTTGCTGAAGGTTAATCAGATTGGATCCGTGACTGAGTCCATTGAAGCGTAAGTCTTAATGTTCATTCAGGCAAAACGTATCAACACTGCACATGATTATCAACTTTCCACTGTATAATGTTCTCATTCCTTCAGATTTTGTTTCACTTGTTTCTATGCTTTCATTTTCTTGGTAGTTTTTCAGTGTATTTTAAATATTTGAGGAATTGGATTCCACAAAAACAGTGTCTTGCTTGGTTAATAAGAGTACTTGACAGTGGTGATTTTTATTTCTCATATTCGTTTTCGGTCATTTTTCTCCGGTTTTTAAGTTTTGACTGCTCTCGGTATTCCTGTTGAGTTCCTCGGTCCGTTGGTTGCATGGAGAATATTTTTATCTTGAATGTGACAACTGTTGCCGTTAGCAATTGATTTGATATTCTGTTTGTTCTGATCAGATGTGTTTGATTAGGGCTGATTTGATGCAGCTGCGTTATAATATTGCTAGCAGAATTTCCACACTGAGCCAAAAAAGGGGAAATATCGGTCACAAGCATTATACATCAGATGACATCTTAGCTGATAACATTTTTTGGCTAAGCTGAATTTGTCTGTGCTTAGCAAGATTGTGTACTTAGACACCCCAATTTTGCTGTTCGTTTTGATACAGGTGTAAGCTTGCTCAGGCCAATGGATGGGGTGTGATGGTTAGTCATCGCAGCGGAGAGACCGAAGACACCTTTATTGCTGACCTTGTGGTTGGGCTGTGCACCGGCCAGATTAAGACTGGTGCCCCGTGTCGCTCTGAACGTCTGGCTAAATACAACCAGATGCTGAGGTACAAATTCTTATCTGACTCGAAGCAAATCAGTCTGAAGTCAGTCATTTGTTTAGTTTAGTCCGACTTTAAACAAAGAATACAAAGATCTTTGTCTGGAAAGCCTTTCTTTGCTGTGATGTTCTGAATACAAGAAATGTCTGAATTGTCCTTTCATTTGCTGTGCTCTGTACGCTTTTGTCCGCTTACCTTTAATTCATATCTGACTCCAAAATGGATTGGCTTGGAAACTGCTTTCAGCCCCTCCAGTTACAGCATTTCTGAAAATGTTGTTACATTGTTGTTAGAGCAATTTACTTTCATTTCTCATGTGAAAGTGTGGAATACAGGCATTTCACAATAGTGCGCCGCCACGAGTTTGCAACTCAGTGGCCGCTGTATGCAATTCACATTTGAATGGGTTGACACGTCCGGGCATGTCTACCGGCAATACGTGTTTTGGAAGGGTTGAAGCATTTTGAGCATTGTGATTGGCCAACGTCTCGCAAACTCTTGGTGGCGCACTTTTGTGAAATGCCCGAACAGTAAAATGAACGGTAAAATGTAGTTTTTACAGTAAGTTCACTTTCCTTGTAGGATTGAAGAGGAGCTAGGAGCCGGCGCTGTTTATGCTGGTGCAAAGTTCCGGCACCCTCTGAAGTAAAAATGAAACCACTCTCCAAGAGGATTGGTTCAGTCCAGACTGAAAGGTATTTGGATTTCGAATCTACAGAAAGGTATTTGGGTTGTACCACTATAAAGGTGAGATAGGAGGTAAAAATTAGATCCCACCCTAAAAATTATATATATGATTGAAAGGTAGTAAAAATTTCTTGTTGGACTTATCTCATGGCAGTAATTTTGTCAGGCTTCCTGAGTGGGGATAAGCGAACTTCGGGCCATTGCCTTAAAGATAGGCTGTTTGGTCACATATTTCTGTATTATTTCTGTGTTTTTGCTCAGTGAGCTTGTTACGCCACAAGGAATATCAGATTCTACATTATAAAACTGAAATTATGAGTCAATTCTCTTGGCAACAACTAGGAACTTTTCCAGGGCCAGGGACGAGGTCAAAGCTGAGATGGATCAGTACTGTGGAAACAGCTCAGTCATTGGCTGCAACTGTTACGGCTACAGCTATTAATAACACATGTGCTAATGGCAGCCACTGGCAAGCAGTTGAGCCTCTTCCCATAGACACGCATGTCACTCAAGGCAGTCAAAATTGCAGCTATGTGAATGTCTGTAAATCACATGATTGTACTTAGTGCTAGATTATGTCAGTAACCCTGTAGGGCACCAGAGTGCAATTGAAGTTCATCGTCCTACAGTACCACTGTTCCACAAGGTTGCCGAGAAGGCTGTTATTAACGTACGTTGCTTTACTCTCACAACCTGGTTGAAAAGAAAGCTACAAGTATTTTGTTTTCCACTGTAACTGGTAACTTAAGTCTTGTGTGACAGTTAAGCAAGCTAACATCCAGTTTAGTGATTGGAAAAGTGTTAGAAAGTTAGTGGGATTAGTTAAAATGAGTAAATTTGCTGCCACCTCTGGAGTTTTGATACCACAGCTCATTAGAAATAGCACAAGTATTTGAAACTTACTTTAGTGTAAAGTTGAGAATGATTCCGCATTCTAAAAAATGTGTGAAGTATTGAAATAATCATGAAAGAGGCTGGAAACAATGATTGCTGTACCAATAATTGACTGCCAAATTTGGAATTGGGCTTATAATTCCAAATGGAATGTGAAGGTCTGGTTAAAAGTCTTAATAATCAATTTACTTTGGAATTCTGATCTTCCTTCACAACGAAGGAAGACAACGTAGGATTTTGCAGGTTTTTGTTGACTCTACCAAAGCCAAAACAGAAATATTTGAACAGAAAATAAATTAGATGGATGGATGAAATAATGTCTGAAACTCTGAAGGGAAGTTTTTGTTGAATGTGAATTCTGGTACAGATTTGCTACAGAGTGCAAATAGAATGCGTGGAGACCCTCTTTGGTCTTACATCTGCTGTGAAATTGTTGGAAAAGCCTAGCCTCAAATGCATAGAGTTATTCACATTTCCAGTTTGAAAACCATTGATCTGGTCTGTGTGGAAGTGACAATGTACGTTTTGCATACTGTGACTAATAGCTTAATAAACACCTTCTCCATGTGCAGTGATTAACCTCATGCGATTCTGTGATTTCAAAAGCTGCCGTTTGATAAAGTTTTATGCCCGGTTAGCCTGGAGGAATTCTGGTGGAAGACATTCGGAACGATGCAGAAAATGAAATATGCAGCCGGCTCTGGAGGTGTGATATTATCCAAGAAATATCGTCACGGTGCTGAAAACGTTCGCTGATCCCTGATGCCACGCTGTTCGCAATTAGTTCCAACAGTGAGTGCATTAACCCTTACCCCCTAGGGTGTATGTAAAATCGTATTGAAATTGGAGGATTTGGGACTGTTAGGGTTAAAGGCATTAATGGACTGTGTGTGACTCATTGAATGATTCATGATTTGGTTTCTTTAATTTTTGATAATCGAAAGATGCAGAAATTATAGAACTGGAAATACTTCAAATGGAATAAATGGAAAGATTCTTTACCAAATATATTAATTAAAGGACACTTTCAGTTATCTTACATATTTGTACATGAGGTAAAATATGTACACGGACACGTTTTAGACAGTTTACACCGAGATTTGAAATACAGAATGTGATAAGCAGTACACACGGTGTTACATTTTTCATTGCACAGTGAACATTATGAGTAAAATTAACACGAGGCACTTTCACTTTTCATTAACAGGCAACCGAGTTTAAAGCGTATTGTCATATTTCTATGACTGTGATTAAAATGTTAGTTCCCTACTTTGAAAATGACTCCTGAAAATCAATGTTTTTTTGAAAGCGACAGAGCTGTGACATCTTTTTACCGAAATCTTTAGACAGACTTGTTTAAACAGAATGTTGGCGCATTGTGGACAGAATTAGTAACACATATGCTTAGTACTTATTAGTCAAACTAAAAATGGGTTATTTGGGGAAACTTCCCCATGAAAAGAAAATTAATCTGAAAATTTGAAAAAAGAAAGACAACTTTCTAAATATGACAACATTAATATGGGAAATACACATCAACATCGTTAACAAAATGTTGATTTGGTTAGACGAATTCTGGATTACTGTAAATCGAAGACCAATTTTATAAAGGCGACTTGAAGAACATTTAAGCTTCCCGTCAACTGCCTGTTTTTGTAATTCTTGTGCAAAGTTGCAGATATCTAAAGATGGTAATTTCACACCTGCTTTCTTTTGCTCTTGAAGAAAACTCGCCATGTAAGATTTCTGACTCTCACTTATTTCCTGTCCCTTTTATGTGGAAAGACCATTTCACAGCAACTGATTTGGGCCGGAATGGAAGTGTTGACATAAAATTGGTCTGAGATTGGTTTTGTGGTAAAGCGATGGAGTCATAAACACTCCGACTTGCGTACATCTCCAAAACGAACGAAGAACACTGGCGTAGAATTGCCAAGCAGGATTTTAGATTCATATCCCTGCTTTCTGGGTGAAATGTCTTCCTTGGGTCTCGTGGGAACTCGGTTTAATCCAAAATGAAACCAAACTCGAAAGGAAAATCAAAACCAGGCAATATACATACCTCGGATTATACAGGCATTTTAGAAGCAGTGTAGGTTTGGTTGGACTCGACCAAATCTTCATACTTATACTGTCCTTGATAGTAGGGAAAATTTATGCTTTGCAAACTGGGCAAGAAGGATAAAAGGTGGAGAAGTGATGTCATCAAAAGACACAGTTTCCTTAAATTTTATGGATCTCAGAATTGACTGAGAAATTCTATTTCAAATCATCCTGTGTGTCGCGATCCGATTGCAAAGTGACTCGCTGCATTATTTCAGTCTTATTCAGTTAACTTTTAATTTTTGAGGGAGATTTTCTTTCAAGCTAGCGAGTGAATGTGGAGAAAAATTTCAATCAGTTTTCTGACTGCTGATACCTCCGATAATTAATTTTTCACTAAATGAGCTCTTTGGAGTTTGAAAGTTGACAAAGCAGTTGTTAGAGGGAGGTTGTGCTTGTGGTGGTTTCCATATTAAGGATACACTGTGCCTTGGGTACACCCATTTCTTCAAGTTCCTCGGCCATGTATATTGGCCCAATGAAGTCGACCCCTATGTTTTCTCGAGGCTTGGCAACAAGGTTCCCCGTGCCGTCAAAATCCCACTGCACTATTGGCTGCACATTTGTCTTCAAGTCATCGCTGTCGCCGGTTTGTGTGCCCAAGCTCCGGCGCTTCACGAAGCGTTTGATACGTTTCTGGTGAGCGTAGTCTTGAGTCCTGGGTTTGTGCTGGGGCGAGACGAAGTCCCGGCTTCTGAACACCGTGGTTTCGTAGCTCAGGCTCTTCGGCAGGACGCGGTTGGCGGTGCTGCTCCTTAGCGACGTCAGGCCATAGTCGCTTTGGTTAGAAGGGTAATCGTATGCACTGCTTTCACTGCTTGGGTATCTCTGCATGGTGGCTTTGAAAGGTAGATACGGGGCACCGTAGAGCTCATGGTACAGACTTGGGTTCACCTGCTTGCTCCGTGGATAGCATTGTGGGTACTGGGTTGGAAATGATGGAACACTGTATCGGGACTGTCTCATTGTCATAACATTGCCGCCTTGGTAGGCTTTGGGGTGAGCTCTTCCATCGTTCTCAGACTTTATGGAGCTAGATCTGTTCAAGTTGAGGTTCGATGTCTCGTCAACACTTGCCATGAAGAAGGACGGTTCAATGTTAGCAAGCCTGGGTAATATTCTCTCTTGCCCAGCAGCGAAGCTCAACCCCTCTGATAAGGCCCTTCCTTCTTCTAGGGACGCCATGGCCCTGAGACGCAAGCTGTCCTGAGAGATGAAGCTCTCAACGTACCCAGAATCCTTGGAATCATTCCGCTGGTTGGACCGCATCCCGAAGTAGTGATTGAATTTGAATCGTTTTCTGGCGTCACCGAGGCTTTCCGTCTCAGAGCCCTCGATGAAGTTGCCCTTCTCCACAGAACCATCTTCTGAATCGGACGCATTCTGCGTCAAGGCATCAGTGTGACTGCAATGAACATCCGCATCAATTTTCATCTGCAAGGGCGGACAGGTGTCTTCGCTGAGCACAGACACCTCAGTTGTCATCTCCTCGGCCGAAGAGATTGCAGGGTTATCGTAGGCATGCTCACTTACGTCATAAGACTTGCTTCCCATGACAAGACCGGTCCTGGACGAGACGTCGCTCCTGGTGCGATTTCGTGTCAGCTGTAGAGGGAGTGGGGTACTAGGGGCGTAGGTCCCTGCATCCAGAAGGGCGTCCAAAGTTCGACTGCGGTCCATACCACCCCCACTGTGAACCTTTAGATGGAAAAAAATTTAAGTTAATTCTAAGGCACACCATCCTTACTGTATACGCTAAAAAAAAATGTAAATTTCTGATTTTAGAGCCTCGGTGCAACTGCATGAGGAAACCGACGAAACCTGAAATCCTCCTCAAATGACAACAACAGGTCATCTTGTGGTGAACGTTTTTTTTTTAGCGAGTGTTTTTCTTTTTCTAGAGAAATCTCAAGGGAAGTATAATTTTACAGTATTACTGCGTGGGAGGGAATTTTGACGTAAGTCTCAGTGCCATTCAACGAATCAAAGCTTTCTCCCAGCCGTCACTGATAAATCTTTGATAATCCCGGTAATCTTCCAAAGGTGTACCTCCGGTATCTTGGCCCTGGATTGCAAGGAGGGACTGTGACCTCTCCGGGGTCGCTTGTTGCTCCTCTTGGTGCTGGAGCTGGAGTCCCTGCCCATCTGGATGGTGACTCTCTTCACCGCTGGCTTGGTGTTGGTGTTGCCAGCCTGCGGGACACACGACAGAAGACAGGTACAATCAACCTACTACGACAGCCAACCATCACGTGGATATGTCTTTTTACACCGGTCCACGCATCACTGAGTTTGGGTGATCATGTATCTAGTCACACGCCTATGTTACTGGCATGTCTCTCTACATGGGTCCACACAGCGATGATCCTGTATCTAGTCACACCCGTCTGTTATTGGCGTGTCTTTTTACATGGATCCACAAACTTTAACGATGAGAAACATTGTAAGGCCCCAAAAACTCTTAAACATTGGAAAGAATCAAATTACGTTGCTTTTTATCTCTTATTAAACCATAAACAAAATCGATGACCAACAGCCAACCAATAATGGTGAACAATGATCACAGCTATTCAAGAATACTGTATATCCTGCCGATTTTTTTACCATCCTCGAAACTGGATGACATAAATTTTGCACAGCGCGCACACAAGGCTCCCCATGAATGAAAATAATTCCAAATCTGAATACACACAAATTGTGGATGCCTTTTTGTTCCAGGCACCTTATGTTCTCGAGGACTGTATATACAAGTTAATCATTCGTTGAGGATGTCCAGAGGGCATTGTGATTGGATAGATTATAAGGTATGATATCGGAGATAATGTCTTCTTCTTCCACGTAACTGCCACCCCTTTTATATCATCATGTGCTCCCAGCTTCCTTTGGAGAAACAGCATCCCCGTCCATGGGGGGGGGGGCAGGACACAAGGATGAGTTTCTCTAGCTAATAGAGCTAACACGGAGCGCAGTGGGTGAGGAAATAAAAGGACAATTCAAGATACGGGAAAGCTACCAGCGGAGATAATCTGTCATTTTGCGGCCAGATTATTACCGACATAATATCAACCATCTCAACTGAGTTAAAGGAAAATCACGGGTGGGGTTCAGTCCGAATTTTCAGTACGGTTGAAACTACTCACTGAAATTAAGGCAGATATAAAGACAATAATAAACTTTCAAAAAAATCCGAAGCAGAAGAAGGTCTGATCAAATATTGAGACTGTACTAAATGCCAAGTTGACAAAAACGTTTGTGCAGCATGCAAAATTTACTACCCAAGGATAAGCTACACTAATGTAGAGTGCTTGTAAACACGCTTCATGGAATATTTTGATTGCTAACGAAAGCGCCCGAGCTGGTTTACGTCATAGTTCTTCGAAACGCTGCAGACTTCTCGTGTTTATATTTCTTTAATTTAGAGAGCTTCGGACAACCCGTGGAAAGAAGACAAAAATATGACACTTCTTTTTCTCTCTTGATTGTCCGTCTGCGGAAAATCGTTGACGCTCTGCCATAAAAAACGTAGCTAAAAACAAAAGGGAGGCTCGCGTGCGAAGAATTAGAAAACATTTTGTCATTAGCGAAAGGGCCGCAGGGAATTACGTGTGATTAAAACCGACAATGCGGCCTTGCTGAAGGAAAAACGCACCCACTGGCTAAAGGGAACGGGGAATCACTTCCGCAGTGCGAGTATGCTTCAGCTATAGCTCTCAAACACGAGACCCACTCGGCTGCCATGGCAACTCCCGCTTAACACGGAGGAAAGAGAATTTTGATGACGGGGCGGCACGGGAAGACGGTCTGTGTGGTGCGTGAGTGGTGATTTTGCCAGGTTTGGCGTGATTGATCTGGCATAAAATCACTCTTATCAGGAGGGATGTGGTGCCACGGGTTGGTTGGACACAGGTTTCGGGTATTGTATCTTGTCTCTCTCCACACTAACTGAAATTGATGTGTCTGGTGCTGCATTAACTCAAGCCAAGTTACGCTGAGAAACATGCACTATTGTTCGATTAGACAACCCCCACTAGAACCAAACTGTAACGAGCTAGATTTTCAGTCTTAAAAGCTATGTACTTTTTATTGCTGGACAAAGTATGCCTGGGTACCTCGGGAAGATTTCTTTAAAGGGCAATGCAATGTAATTTAAAGTCCTCGTAAGTGCATCTCTTATGTCCCGTGTTAAACTTATTTTCAACTTTCGTTTTGCCATTTACTAGGACATTTTGGGGTACAAATTTCCCAGGAAAATACACTTCCGGTACCTTCTGATGCGTGTTCTGTGTGAAAAGACTACCAGGAATCTGAATATTTTGACAAAAAAGGAGCCCATTCGGTATTTCAAAACTAGCAAGGTCATTCGGGAACAGAGCACGCGCGCAAGTCCTTGAAGGGCCACGCTGATAGGGCAAACCTCGCAAGCGCATCGGAATGACCCTGGACGCGCTTCATTTGGGGCATGCGCAATTGGAATACCGAATTGGCTCATTCACAGGGTGGGTGGAAGCGAGAACTCAAGCATGGCCCCGAAACAACACATTAAACTATATGAGTGAAGTGTGCATTAACATCATTAGCCGGATTCAGATTGGAGCCTTCCTTTTCTGAACCCACACCCAATCTCATTTCAAAACTCTTGAGACGAAACCCCCCTCTGGTTGCCATAGTAACACTATCGTAATTGGCTAATGATGTCACTAAATCTTATGTTTGACCCTCTCAACAGTGATTCAGGGTCCTTCCCTGTGACAAATGAGGGTGTTTTCCTTTTCTTTTTTTGAATTTCTGTGCACGTCTATTAACTAATTTTATCTGTTTATTGGTTTTCCAATAAGCTCAATTGGACTTTGTGAATGGAAACTCATCTAAAAGTATTTCGTCAAAGGTTGCAGGAGTGAAGAAATGTCAGAACCTCGTCATAGAAAAATAACCATCCTATCTTGCCTCGTTTTTTCTCACATGATCCTCAAAATTTAATCACGAAAATTCTCATCAGAGCAGCCACCGTGATGTTGCTGTCCGATAAAAGCAAAGGCGAGTCCCTCGTCAGTAAAACTGCTATGGCAACGGGAGATGAGCTACCACTCGCGGAGCCGTCCATATTGGGTCACACTACTTCAACCCGACATGATGCTTCCATTATTTCCCCTATCGGACTTGCCTCGGCCGGCCTGATTGCTTCCCGGCAACCTACATGAATACAATGTGCCCCTTTTCGGCGAGATGCTGTTGAGAACCAAATATCCCCTTGTCTGATCCTATGGCTCTATGGTCTAATGTTAAACACACGAAGGGACGGCACATCAGAGAGACCGCTAATGCATTAGTCGAGAGGTTCTGGATCAAAGCGAACTGAAATGGCAGGATAAAGTTTAGAATATGGGTGAGCAAACACCGATTGAGTAGGCAGGTCCACTCTGCCACAATGAACACACGTACGCTACACAATGGTTACAGCAACTGTAATTGCTATCATGAGCGCTAAACACCCTCGTCTGATCACACAGACACGCATAATGGCCACTTCCTGATCTATGACATTTTCAACGGCTAGCGACAAAAACATAGCCATTTAATGTCAAATTCGAGCTGGGCCAACTTTCATCTAAACACCAAAGATAGACTCAAGTTGGTGGCGAGAAAGTGAGAAATTCCCCTATCAAAATATTTTAACATACGCTTTCTTGGTACATGCGTTAGTTTTGGACAACCTTGAGAGAAAATTTCGGGGTATTGAATATTATAAAGGTACTTGGAACCAAGGCCCATTACGTTTGATTTCTTTCTGAAGTTCATGTCCTCTGCGAGTTATTGGTATATTTATGGCCATTTAGTGCTGGCTGTCTAGGACTTGAAATCTAATCTTCTACAATTTATGCATTGACTGAAGAAAAGTCATCGACTCAGGCTTGGTAGGCCCTAACAGTGTTTTGAAATGATGCTTTCATTTACCTTAGGTGTACGCTTACACACAGAAAGAAGAGCACTTGGCCTGCATGAGGGACATTTTACTCAATGGTTTACAGAAAATAACATTTCGCAAAACCAAGGAGTCAAAACCATGACGCAACTTCATCAAATGTCCCCACGCGGCTGGACAGAGAGAAGCAATGGCTATGATTTACTGTTTTAATTACGGAGCCCGGTTTGTACAAGATGTCACCATGGTGATTGGTTTAGGTTGTGCCACGGCATCGGTTCGAGGGATGGTTCTTTGTTGCATGTGACTGTTGGAGCATTTTTTTCTTGTCGTAAATTCGGTTCACACTCATCAAGCATGGGCCACAAATCTCAAGGCCACTAGTGCGTACGAATCCTCTGGCAGATTTAACATTGCATGTACTTTTTACTTGAGAGGCACAGTGCTATGTTGTCCGATGAACAAGCCAAGGTTTGGAACCCCATTCGTCTTCTCTTCAGATTCGAATTTATTTGTGGAGGAGAGTGAAGAAATAAAAGGAAGTAGCTTTAGCCTCTACCAAAACATCCATTTCATTCAAGGTTGATTTATGATAAAAACTACATATCAAAATACACGGTTTTCTTAAGTCTAAGGAAAACATTCAGACGTCACTCACCCCAAATGCGATGTTTGAAGTTGGCAAAATATCCAACGGCTTAAATCTTAGGAAAGTTCCTTCCTAACGTTAATAAGATTCACGTTTCAACCTAAAAGTTCAACGAACGCTATCATTATTATTGAGCATTAACTGGCACACCCGGTGGTTATGTACAACCCCCAAACCGAAACTAAAAAGGTTTGGAGAAATCAACGGATAACAGAAATTATATTTCCTCTGTACATTCTCCCTGCTGACGTCAGGATGACGTCAATGAAACCACAAGCGGATGCACTGGTTCCCAAGACACCGCTATAATGAGACCTAAGGGACATGGGTGTATCTGGTTGATAATCAACGATTTTGAGCTTCTAGCACGGCTTTCTACGTTATGAACTGGTTTACCTCTTGCGCTTGTCGGTAGGGCAGAGTAGGTCTTAGGTGGGGCGTGGAACAAATGGAAATTTATCGAAAAATGACTGTCGAATTGTTTTTCAACCATAGTAAACGTTACTTCTCTCCCCCGGTGGATGGTAGTACTGTTTCTGAAACACTAATGCTTTTAATTCATGAAAAGAGAATGAATAACAATTGGCAGTATGTCTCCAGGGGAGTAACTCCCCCCCCCCTTGCTGGATACGCCACTGCTATGATTGCGAACGACTCACTGCACACCCGTGCCTGGTTTGTTTTCGAAACGGCCAATATAGTCTGGAAAAGGATTGGGTTAGTTACGAATACTGGCCATAATCCGCACCGAGCTGGACCAAGAGAGGGCGCAATTTTCCTAGCGACAGAGGCTCCTTTGGTGGGAATTGTGATCGCCGGTTCATGACTGGGTATGAAATGCACACGTTACGGTCGCGTGGCCACCAACAAAACGAATTGTCCCTACCCATATGGCTTATTTCCACCGATAAGGGGGTGCTTCTACTCACGGCGGATCACAGCAAAGCCTCCTCAAGCTGGTTCCATACTTCGTGGGTGCCTGAGTTGACAAACGTCCTAAACTAACATTTAGAATCCAAGATGCTTCTTTCCTGAGTGCTTACATGATGCATGGCGGCCCAAGATTCAGTAGCTATGCAGGTCACGCGCTTGCAAACTACACCCTGAGTTGACACCTGCTTCACAGATACCCAGGAACTTTCTGACCAGAGGTGAACGCCATAAAGGTCTCAGAATGGCCAAGGGGGAAATACTTACTTGGAGAAAAGAACTAGTGCCATCTCGAAAACTTTTCCCCTGTGCCCTTTATGTTGTCAACCTACAGCTTTACTTGTAGGTTGAAAAAAGCCAAAGACAATGCCCGCCAGTACCCACAGGCGGGTATAGTGAGTGTCAGTGTAATCAGAAAAACAAAAATGAAATGTTTAATCCATTCGTACACCTGAACCTATAGTTATCTATAAGTCTTGCTTAAACGCACAAATATCTTTGGCAAGTTAAACTCCCAACATCTGCACGGTAATACCCACGTAAATGCAAGTACATGTACCTCACACGAGAAAAAGGCTGTTGCCAGCTAGCGGTTTCCCTAGGTACACGTATCATTTGTAGCCGCGGATAGCCAGTGGCGTAACTTGGTGTTAGGAACTGGCGGTATTGTGGGGCGACTTGTCGGCCATGGGAATTTGAAACTGGGAAGGGGGGGGGGGAGTGACGTCCTAAAGGACGATGTTCATGACACAGATGTACATCCGTTCTTGCCGCCCAACTGCCTCAAAACGCCGTAGGGCCTACTTACGGCTTTTTAACAATTGTTCTCTCTCTTTGAGAGCGATTGAATATATTTTGGTTGTTGGGAAGTCCGAAGAATTCTTTACAATCTGCCTTAATTTTTCTCATCACGAAAAAGACGGAGATAAGTCAATAGCCAATCCCTCTGCTCAAAACGTGAAGGGGATACCTGCATCGCCCGGGGTTTAGGGCTATGCATATATCCAAAGAATTCAGGCATAGCCTCGGTTTCGGCAAATTTAGGAATCTAAAATATTCCACAAATTCTCACCACATTCTTCCTTCTTTTTCTCGTTAACTCGAGTTCCTGTCGCCTCTTCTTTATTCTGCTCCTGAAGAAGTAACAAGAGTTGGTATATGGAGAAGGGCAGATTCAGAGCCAAATTATGGGGGGATTTGTTGCCAGGCAAACATTGGAAATGTTTCCACGGAAACCATTTATGGTTTTTACTGGCTTTTGGAAGGAATGGAATGAAACATACCCTTGTACATGGAACTGCACCTATCTGTATCTATAATTCGAGACTAAGCCCAGGGAAATCCTCCGATTTCAGTGTGACTTTACACACACCCTTGGGCGTTAGAGATTAATGGTCAAATTACAGTCACAAGGGGTAATAATATTATGTTAACTGTCTTAGGGCTGATGAAATGGAATACACTGTATTGATAGAAACGAGCGCATTAACCAATATTCCATGACGAATGCTTCGGCTTATGTTCCTCACCTGATGCGGAGTGAAATCGCTGTGATGGCAAAACAACCGATGACAATCGACAGCGTCACAATGAGGCCTAATTTAAATTGTTCTGTGAAATTCAAAGAAAGAAACGAAAACTCGTCAATCATAAAACCACGAGAGAGGGCATGCACGATACATTCTTGGACATGACTAATTTCTGAAATATTGATATTCTCAAAAGACCGAATCAATTTATAAAATGAAGGATGTCGCTCTTCATGTCTCGCATCAGCCGTGCACCTGTGCTTTCACCTGGCCTTGGTAACCAAGAAAGACGCTTTGATGTCAACTGTAAAGATCAATTTCCTTTGTAATTATTAAAGGTTCAAACCGCGTGTGAAAGAAAACAGGAAAAGACGATTAAAACCACGACATTCACATTCCACAAGTCAAAAAAGTTTTCCCGTAAATGGGACAAGGCATCAACTCTGGACAAAACATGGCGGATTATGTACGAGTCAGTGCGTAAAAGCTGCACGGTCAACTATGAAAGAAAGCCATTTTATTCATTTGGAAACAAAGAAATTTGAATAACAGGCTGTATTTCTGATTTAGAATGATATGTCTCTACAAAGCCCTTGAAGACCAAAAGGAACAAGACGTCATTGCAAGAACGCACATTAAATCTCCAGAGAATGTCTTCAACAAAATTTCAGTTCGCCGCTTCATTGCCGGGTCTGGTGAGTCCAGTCCGACTATATACGGCGACGTAGCACAAAAAACCCAGCAGACTGCACTCACAGCAGTGTCCCACTGCCTGCATGCATCCAGGAATTCATTTTTCTCCTGTCCAATTTGACGAATCGCGCGGCATTCCTCGCACAATGTCTGAGTCTCCAGGCACGGTTGTTTGCGCAAAGGTGCAGCCTCGTCGTACGTGCTTGGTTTGCATTATGTGCAATGCCACGCAACAGTTAAACTCTTTTGCCTTTCCCAGTCATGCCCGCGGTGTCAAATTTAGATGTAGACTCAAACATAACATAAGCCTATGTGTCTCAGGCCCGGGGGGGGACTTAAACCTTTCAAAATAGCTGCGTAAGCACAGAAACAAAAAAGCTGGCTTGTCATGAAGGCTTTGCTCGACAGGTTTGCACTTCTCCGGTCACTTGAAATAAAAACCCTTTGGCTCATTCTGTTCCCTATACTCTATGCGGTGAAAAAAAATCCTGCAGCGACTATGTTAATGTAATACACAGCATCTTTCATCTTGGGCCAATTATCAATTTGGCCACCTGTCTGTTATCATCACCTATCACCATATTTCTCACCTTTTCATAACAGGGCGTCTCTAAAAAAAAAGATACCGACGAATGATACCTAATATGCCTGCTGCTATGGCGTGGCGCCGACTATCCTATGAAAATGTTATTTCCCGTAATAAATTCATGTTCCCGCACTGTGTAGCAAGGTTCAATGTTGGGGGGACGATGCGATGTTACCCCCTCAGTTTGCCAAATACCAAACCAACGTCACAACAATCTTGGACACCAGTTTGTGGCATTTAAAGGCTCAGTTGCATTCAGTAAAAAAGAGCAGGCCCACCATATTGAGCCGACGACAGCAATCCTGAGGGCGTCGTTTGGTCTTTGAAAAGAAATCTAATTTAGCATTCGCCTTGGCCAATCAATTATGATTAAAGGGACAACTATCAATGCACGGCGGCACGGATCCAACCTGAACACTGAAAAAAAAAAAACTGTACCCCACCCGGTTTTGGGCAAATATGGCCTTTTAGAGATGCGGGTTCAATTTTCCCCTGTCCGACTCATAATGGATTGTCAAAATGTAAATGACATCATAGATTAAGCGTTGGCAGTGTAATTAAAACTTCATCAATAAACATTCTGGAGAGCACACGCAATAGCAATGTCGTCAGCTGAACTCATGTTTATTCATAGCGTCATAATTATGAGCGTCCAGGATGTGCGTACAGTGTACATGTATGTACACAGTTTACAATGTGCGTGAAAACTCTTTACCAGTGGCATATCTAGCAAGCCCCCCCCCCACAGATTTTATTTTTTAAACAAAGACTACTTCATTGGAAAGAAAGTAATCGATATACGTATTTGTCAAATATTAGTACCATCAGAACCTTAAAAAACAACACCATGAAAGAATGGAAAGGATGCCGGCACTGAATAAGTCATCTGATATTGTTTCCTCTCCCGACATCATGTTGAATGAGCCCAAAGCGACACTCGCTGTTGAATGTACCCCCGCCACACCAGAAGCTGGATATGCCGCTACTCTTAACCAAGGCTTTTTAGTGAAATGGATGTTAACGTCTCAAAACGACAACACCCTGGTTTTTTTTTTCAAGTTCAAGCCATTTGAACCTCATTCCGTATTTGGTGGTTACTGACTAATTATTTGGCACCGTTTCTCGTATAATTCTACACAGAGATTTCGCTTGTAAACGTCTAATCTCTGGAATCAAAAGGCACGGAGGCCCCTGACGCTGTAGATAACAAAAGACATGCAGCGCAAGTCCAATGAGATTTGCCAATGCTGAAATGGAGAATAATGCACGTTTGATCATACCTGACTTTAATCTTCCGAAGAATCGCGCTTTGCAAACATAAACCAAAGCGAGGAGTAACGTATTGACACTCCACCCTAAATTCTCACAGGTCATCTTTTAACGAGATGTGGTGAGTCGAAAAATAGCTGACGGTTATATCAAACTCAACGTCGTGCATTATAAAATGCTCGCACGCATTACCAAGATTTACGCCGGACATGCATCCAAGCAAATTTCATCCATTCTCCCCATCGTTACGGCGAAAAGGGTTTCGCTTTCTTGATAGAACCCCGTTGAACAGATAATAAATTGAATGAAGCAGATTATGAGGGCACTATATGGTCATTTGCTAGCCTGTCGACTGAGCTAAGTGGTAATAAGTAAAGTACCATGACAGTAATTCTAGGAACACGATTCGGCAATTTTATTGTAAGTCATTCAAAATTTTTACATGTTGTAATTTGTCTTAATTTATTTTAAGTTATACGTAAAAGCATTACTTAGAAACTACTTCAAGGCATAATCTTACCAAACAGGTGTTCTGGGAAAATTGGCCATACCGAGAAAAAAAATCACTATATACAGGCATGCTTGCTTATGCAGTGGGAAAAAATCGCATTCAGAGATCTTACTCGTGGAAATAATCACCCTGCAAGTACGCGCACAAACTGATAACCAAATTCATAACCGAATATCAGAATTTCAATACCCATGGGCGAGTGATTTCTCTTACTAGAAACTCTCCGATTGGGGGGGGCAAGGTTGCTTGGCTCATCACCGCTATCTGTCCTCGTTTAGGATCTTAAGAGCTATGGTCCATATGGTTGTTTCTCCTGTGTCGGTTTTCAGTGTTTAATTTGAATTTATTTTGCCCTCTTTGTTTTGATTTGAGTTTGATTATTTTTACTGTATTGAATATACAATAACTTCATTGACATTGTGATCGTTTCTATCACTAGGTACCACTTAACGACCATCAAGGTACTCATTAGATTTCAAAGTCCTATTTTTCCCACGTCATTCTTACGTCACTGTAAATGCAAGTTCAACTGAGTGTGTGCAAGATGTCACGCAGAAATGATCTGCGATCATGGAGATATTAGTGCCCCCCTATAATGGCGTCCCAACGGACGCCCTCAGAGGATGTATTCCATAACAGGCGTGTGCGAAAGATGATCGTTGGTCATTGTAACAGGTCATCCGGGTTGATTACAAGAGATATTGAAAACACGCCCAAGGACGATAAACAACACGACCACTTCTAATGGAAATGTGAACTACTATACGTGTGGGTAAGGACATCATCAGAGAGACGATGCAAGAGTTTCCATATTCTAGTCTCATCTAAATCTCAAGTGACTTTTTAATATACGTACGCGTGGGAAACTATCATAACTAATGCAAGAATCCAGGGTAGCTTATCACTATAGTGAAGGTCTTGCCGTATTTACCAATGTCTCATCCATCAACCTGCTGTGTCTCCTTGAAATCCAGTCTTAATTATTCCCCAGAGCTGTTACTAATGGTTACACAGTCTCAACATTTGAAAGTTTGAGTTATTGCCTGAAATCATACCGCAATAATGCCGAATCATCCAACAAATCGACGAAGAAGTGAAATTTTGCGTGCGGGTACTTTTATGGGTTAAAATGCAACGATCACGAGAAGTGAGCGTTAAACAAGCAGAGTACCAGCGGACAATTATAGTTGGTAAGTTTCTCTTTAGCATGTCAATTTCCTGGGGCAACTTAAGCATTCATGTTTCTCTGAGAGTTTTGAATGATGATGAAAAATTGCCGGTTTCAAAACAGGTATGAGTTTGTCATAGGAAAGGTGACCTTGACCTGGATAGTTTGGTCCCCAAACATTACAGAATAATACAATGCCAACGCCGAGACGCATCTACTTTCAGTTTTACTAAAACATTATTGACGTATGTAAATGAGTTCTGGGATAAGAATCCGCCATGTTATTAAACCACACTGTTCAAAGCACTGCTCGCTACAATACTGAGTCTATCATCAATTATCGTCCTTACCGGTAGGGTAACATTCAACGGCTGCGTCGAACGTACCCTCGGGTTAATATGTTATCGCGACAAGGTGATCGCCACTTTTTTAATACGAAAAACAAGAAGAACTAAATTAGGTGCTGCGGAAATGAATCGATCAAATTTCAGCAGTTTCTTTATTTCTGATTCCCCATCCGTCGCGTTGTCTCGTAATATTGCTTACAGCGCTGTTCGAATGGTACGCTGGGCGTTAATATTCTACTTGGACTTTCGCGCCGGATCAAGGGAAAAGATTGATTAGAACAAGTCTTTATCATCGGGCGAAAAGGGAAAAGGGTAAAGTATTGCTTTTTCCTGTCCCATCATGGAGATCTGTGTCAATAAGCAGTCCTGCCAGCGCTGAGATGGCAAACTCTCTACGGAGATAACCTTAAGAAGCAGTGAATTAGAACGGGTTAGATAGTCTCTTAAACCCAAACTAAACCAAGAGGCACATTAAAAAAATCACAGCACAGAACTACAGGCCTACAATGACAATTTCCTATTAATAATTAATCATCTGTTTTTGCTTTTATTGAAAATTTGCAGTGTATTTTTTGTTCTATGTTTGATTGCTTATCTTAATATTATAAGAGCGATTACCGTAAGGTGTAAAATATCCTGCTGTTGTGGTGGAAGCTTCCTTTTCGGTTATGATCTCAGAAACAGTTGCCGTGACGACGGACGATGCGATGACGGAGCTCCGTCCAAATTCCTGCTGGCTGGTAAATATGTCGTCTGCTCGCGATCTGTACAACGTCGTCGAGGCTGGAAAGTTGGACGTGTCTTCAACAGCGTCGGTCGCCATGTAAGGAGTCGTCGTGCCGGTCCAGTGTTCGTCGAACTGGGACTCGGGGTCGACACTAGGAGTTGTTGGGGTCGGCTGGAGGGTGTCGATACCCTCGGTAGATGATAACATTGTATGGGCTGTGGCCACTGGTTCCTGAGATGTTGATGGTTGCGATTCCGGATCATTCTGATTTGTAGAAGTCACAGGTGATGGTGTCCACATCCCCGTTATGCACGTATTACGTCCCCAGCCCTATGCAAGCATTGACCTCCGGGTCGATCACAGAAGACTGACTCATTAAGATATTCAATCCTCTAGGCCCATCCGTCGCAGATTTAAGTAATAGACCATTACTGACTGTTCATTTTCCAGAAAATCAAACGAGCAAGACATGGAGTGAATCGAAATGGCAATTACCTGGTCATGAGTTGTTTCGTCAGGCCATGGTGATATTCACCTGTGCGCAGTAGACTTGCTTGCCTACAGCACGAGTGGTATGGCACGTATTCACGTAAGCCGAGTCTTTATGGAGTTGCCTCAACGTGCAGAGTTTGAGACGCGTTAAAGTCGAAAACCAATCCACTTCACGACAGGAAAAGAAAACATGACAACCACACCGAGACTCTCAATCTTGTCGAAACTGTAGTTATCTGCCCGAGGGTAGTCTCCACGAGGGTGAAACACACGTGAATTGGGAAAATAATGAGAACCATTCAGGCCTCGAAGTCGTCCGCGTGATGAGTAGCGCACGCGGCTTGCTGGTCAGCAGGATTGATGTTCGTGTTCCTGATCTGGTGGCGCACTGCGCATGATCGCGAGCGAGCTGCAATGTTTACAAATGCAAGACTGCTGCGATCGCACGTGGCTCTCGGTGATCCAATGATTTGATCCGTTGCGTGACGCAGCTCAAAGCGACATCGTTGTTCAGCATCTTTAGCATTCAGCATTGACGGCCTCCAGCCACTTCACTGTAGGTGTGGTCCGGATGAAACCCAGCAAGGCTGGGAAACATTCTAGATGGTGAGTGCTTCAACGTAACATCATCCCTTGTCGTATCGAATTGGCTACCAAAACGTTTGGTGGGTCATTGTATGACGTGCTTGCGTGTAATCAGCGCCATGAACTGAAGCAGTATTGCGTGAGCGGAACTGGTGTGAAAAACCGCAGGGCCGGGGGAGCGGGTTAGCGTAGCGGTTCTTTCCTGACTATGCACCAATGAGGCCCCGAGCTCTCGCAGGTTTTACCCGGATACTCCGGTTTCCTCCTGCCTTTCAAACTGGACCTTCTTCCTAACTCTGTAATGTGATGCTGATTAATAAAGGTTATGAATAAACGTATAGTTATTGGTGCAGATAAGCCTGAGAAGGTAGCTGAAAACGCCATTAACAAACGCGCAGGGCCTCATATTTCAAAATCCTCCGTCTAATTTACCAGAAGCAGAACTAGTTAAGCCTAAGGTCTTTGCAAATAAGCGAAGGCACTGTCAGAGCTGACTTGACACAAAGTGCATGATTTAGTGAGTTTAAGTAAGTGGACTTAAGTTGGAGTAAAAAAAAAAAGACATTAAAGAATGAATAAACTTTTCGAATGAAGACTAAAACGGAAGGAAGTATAGAGTTTGAGGAGGAATGGAAAGACGGTATCAC